CCATACCAGCCACTCAACACCCCCAAGAGGAAGAGTCGAGCAAACTAGCAAAATTGCCCTGCCCAGCACTGTAGCGGGCCACACAAGGGCCGGGCTAGTCGGAGCAAGAAGAGCCCCTGCAAGGTAGCGGAGAAAGTAGTCGCGTAAGCGGAAGCCCGTCCAGCGGCTCCATGCTGACATATGGCTGTCCCGCCAAGCCAGGCCACCATATAGCCCAGGGCTGTCTGTCGACCAGTGCCGACTGAATGACCGGGGTATGTATTAAATCCGAACCTTCGTAGAGCTCGAGGATGACCCGATGCACAAGGCGTGACACCGATGCCAGCACCACTAAAGCATCAAGATCGATTTGTACAATAGTGGCACGCACTTGGAATCCAAGTCGCACGATCAGCTGAAAATTCGGCGCGACTCGGTAGCCAACGAAGGTACGCTGCGTCAAGTACGCGACGACCCGACGTTGGTATTCTTCAAACTGCTGCCGAAGGGCGAGGCTGGCTGCCCTGCGCTCCTGCGTGCCAATGGCGCGCAATAATTGACGAGTGGCAGCCGACGGCGGGGCCCCAAAAAGCACTGGCAATGTCCGCACAGAAACAAACGTGACGACTTGTGCAACAAAATCCTCAGAGATCAGGGACATGGCTGGTCACCTACCCTGCGCTGCAAGGGCCGACACTGCAGCTGGAAGCGGGCAGTCAGTGAATCAGTGGAGTGACTGTCGTGCGCGACGGCCATGTGGAGCTGGCAAGCACACTGCCGGCCACTGACTGCTACTGTCACTTTCCGCCACCGCACCTCATCGTTGGCACAGCGGTGTGAAAGACCTACGGCAACTACCAGGGTGGAATGCCTGCCGCACGTTTGCAATAGGGTCACACCCACACACCACCACCGCCGCTAAGCCGAATGGCCAGGGCATGGTGGGGAAGTGGCCCTCCTCGACCGTGCAACTCACCCGCCCGGCGGCGGCAGACGAACCTCTGGCGCATGCCATCCCCAGTAGTGTATCGCCAAATCCCAAAGAATCCCCAGGGTCCTCCATGTGTTCGTCGTTGAGCGTATATGAAAAGGTCCATTCACCCGCCTCGTGGCGCCGCTCCAGCTGCGCTCTGGTAAACCAATACGTGTTGGAGGCCTTATGATACGCAGGTACGAGTCTGTAGCCCGAGAAGGGATACCGCAGTCCCTCCGCCAGCCCTCCTCTCTCCCGGAATTGTCGGGCCGCAGCTACCCACTCCTCGAAGTTGATCCCGGCCCCCAGCGTATATGACGGATACTGAGCGAAAGGGACCATCGGTATATCTGCGAAGTTCCTGCGCACAATCTCCGCGAAACGTCCATCTAAGGGATGCTGTCCCAGTAAGAAGAAGCGCTCGGGATACCACATGGTGATCCGCTTGGGTCCCGGGAGCCAGACTGCCAACGCCTGCTGGAGATCGTATACTTGAAGGATCGTCTTGTTTAGTATCCGAATGGGCGGGTTGCGGTGGTTAGTAAAGCCTGCAAGTGAACTTATAATCGGGCTATCTTGACTTATGAGTGTACCATGTTGGGTAAGTGTGTTTTTGAACTTAGTAAGTGAGCGAGGGTGGTTATAAGTAGTTGTTTGAGTTAATAAGCACTTAGCACATTTCTAACTGACTTGGGACAAATGCTGTAAATGGAAGATAAGTACTTGGACACGGTTATATCGGTTATCTAAGTCATTATAAATACTTATATAAGTACCCTAACTTCATCGGGGCAAAGCATTTGCAGGTCGGTGCAGCTGGTGGTTGCCGACGTCGACGGCATCGAAAGGTGCTTCCACCCCCCGCTTCTTTGCAAGTGATGAGTTCCGTGTTCCGAGCATGTTTGGCCATGTCGGGACTCCCATCATGAGAGACATGCAGTCATGCTTGCAGCTTTCATGCAGTGTTTGCATGTATGTGTATACACTTGCAGTCTTTGCATCACGTGTATATATGCAGTGGTATAGATGCCCTGCATGTGTATAGGAAGTCGTCGCGCAGGGCAATTTGCTCGCCGGCAGGCTGCCACGACATTCTTGCATGACTTTCAAGCTGACAGTTCATATCTGCATGCAGCATCTTGGCTGTGAGAGCACTTACTGCACACACACACACACACACACACCGACCGCTTCCGAAACACAGCATGGCTTTGTCTGCTGAGCTCGTTGCGGACATCTCGTTCAAGCTGGCACAGGTGCAAGAGGGCGATCGACTTGTAAAGACGGTGCATGCGTATCAGCCAGCTTGAGTCGCAGGGCCACGTCTACACGATGCAGCTTCAACCGACCATGGTCGGCATCAGTTCCAAGAACCGCGACGGGAGCGGGATTAATCCCGTAGATGTCCACGATCTTCTGGGCGACATAGTTCAAGCCGGCCTGGTCCAAAGCTTCAAGATGATTCATTGCGTGTGTGTTTTTTTGCTTGCCTTGCTTGATCTCCAAGGTGTTCCAACACGGAGAGTTCACGAACAACTAAATGCGTGGCTGCCACCCTAAAGCCCCCGATTTCAATGCACCTAAACACGAAACTACTACGGCGAGCATAAACGATTGTCAGGGGATGTATCTTGGCTGTAGCACTCGCCGGAAGCTCAACAATTGAAATTTATCTGGTATGAACATTGCATGGCAGCAGTCTTGCGAGTCTTTAGTGAATGGAACGTCCGCAACAACAATGATGAATCCACCAGGGTTCAGGCTATCGCCCATGAGCCAACTGGGCAAGAGGACATCGATTGGAATGTCCGATTGTTCCAAAGCATGCATGATCGCTGTGGGCCCCTGGAGCCCACGACGATCAAAGCACTCTCCCTGGCAGGGTCACACACAAACTCGGTCTTGCGGTGCTTCCACTATGAGGTCATGCATGAAGGAGACGAGACCGTGTGTCATGATGGAAGACTCAGCATGGAGCTGCTTCGGCGGCACGATCCGGACTTCGCGAGGGCGGTTCGCGAAGGAGTCGTTTGGAAGATCTTGTCAAAGCACGTCGCTGCCAAGCTGCCGCAGCTGTTGGGGCTTGTCCAAAGGATGGGCAACGCCACACTTCACCGTGGCGAACACGAGCTCCAACTGATGAGACGGCTGCATCAGACTTGGGTCCAGATGAGCTCTCAGGGTTCTGTGGACTTTCTGGCACTGAAAAGCAAAGTCACCACGGGGAAGTCCGTGCATGGCAAGTCCATGCCGCATCTTTACAGTTTCGTGTTAAAGACTGCGGGTGGCACAGATCCGTTCTTGCTCAACGAGACTGAGACCTTCGTTAGGCTGCATTCCCCCAGCACACGTTCATTGGGACCTGGTTTCTGGGAGAAGGTCAGTGCCGATGTCAAAGGTTCCAAGCAATTCCCACGGTTCCGGCATGCCATGGCCGCTTGATTCATAAGCATGCATGCATGTACAGGTCACATATGGGATTGCAAGGCCGAGGTTGCTGGTTGTTGTTGTTGTTGCTGCTCTTAGGTGAAGCTTGCATACTGCAAAGAAGCTGTGGGGTCTGCCGAGTGCAAGAAGATGCTGCACAAGGATGCAACGGCCTCTGTCAAGGAGGCAGACACCATCATGAGCACGTGGCGAAAGCTGGTGACGGCCCTGCCGAATGGTGCAGAGCTTCTCATGAAACCCGAAGTGCAGACCTGCTTGTCCTATGGGGACATGTCCTTGGCTGCCTTCACCCTGAATGTGATGTTGCCCGGTGAAGACTTGAAGAAGTATAAGACAAGCCAATCCCTCGCCCATGACCTCGTCCTCATTTTGCAAGGGATCCTCAAAACAGACCTGAATGGGCCCTGGGCGGCACACAAGGTCGCAGATTCGGGTGAGGCATCGGGTTCCAAACAGGTTGCAGCACCCAAGGCCATCATGAGGGAGCTGAGCTCCGACGGCTCAGTGAAAGATTCAGCGCTGATGCTGGAGGAATCCGGGTTTTCTATCGGCCAACATGTCCGCCGCAAGGCGGACCACGAAACGGGCCAGTTGCAAGCCAGCTTGGCCGTGTCAAGCTGAAGCAGCCCTCGGGCTCCATCGTGCGGGTGTCGATCGATTCATTTCTCGCAGGGCGCTGGCAGGTCTTCACACCGAAGCCGGGGCCCCAGACGGTTGATGACTTGTCCGTGTACTCGCCTTTGAACTTCCCAGAATACGAGCGACAGATGCTGTTGGCATGCTTGTACATGGACATGCATGAGCTCATGCAAAAGCACGAAACGAATCCCATGCTGCAGAAGCTCAAGGTCACTTTGAAGCCTCGTAAGTCAGTCCAAGCCACGGCATTCATCCCGAAAAACAAGCTCATCATGGTCCCCATGGGTTTGACGACCAAGCACGGTCAGAAGAAGCCCGAGGATGCGATTTTCGATATCATCACCCCCATGAGTGACTACTTCTTCTGGATTGTTTCGTTCATTCAGATTCCGAAAGCCGCAGGGGATGCTGGCTTCATCAATCCTGCATTCCTTGTGCAGCCGCTTCCCGTGAGTGACACTTGGAATTGCGAGGTTTCGCATGTCAAGTCCAATCGAGACAAGAAGGTTCAGCTCCCCATCCTGAAGAACACCCTGGACCTGCAGCAGGACGATGTGCTGTATATGCCAAAGGTCGAGAAGACTGTGCACGTCGAGGCCTTGCAGGCTGAGACCCCGCCAAGGAAGCGAATCTGCTCCAAGAAGCCGGGAGACTCCTGAAGCCCGAGTGTGATGCATCCCATGCCATTTTGTGTGCAGCTGTCCTATAGAGCTCACGGGCACTTCCTCCATTGCTTTGAACCATGCAGCAGCTGTGCTGCTCACCACGATCCATGCACATGAAAGAACATGCACTTGCAGCCCGCAGGAAAGATGCCCGAGCCCGTGTATGTGTGCAAGTGTGCATGACTGCGAGCACGATTGCATGTAAAAGCGCCAAAAGCCATGGCATTCATGATTGCATGTCATTCAGGAAGTTTTGCAGCTCCAGCTTCATCCGTGAATTTCGTAGCTTTGCCAGCATGGAGCAGGAAGATGAGGAGATGACCGAACCCACGGTGGTGACAAAACAGATCGTCACACACGGGTCAGGGCTCACTTGGATCCCGGAACAAAAGAATGCCGAGGGAGTCACATGGTTCAAAGTGAGCAAGTGGGATCGAGGATTGTTTCGGTTCGTGTACGGCAAGGCTTGGATCTGAGGAAGAATACGGACAATCAAAACCAGTCACTCGACACACCTTTCTTCGAGAACATGTTGGCCCGTCGCCAAGAAGCATTCAACGAGGCTATCTCCGATAGACTCAAGGATGAAGAGAATGACGAAGCCCCACAGCCGGAGAAGGCCCAGAAGAAGACCAAGAAAACCAAGGAGTTCAAAGCTACACAGAGGCATGAGATTTATGCACCCCACAGCATTCAGATTAACTTGCCCGGCGAGACCGAGGATGGCAACAAGGTCCAATGCCGAACTTTGTTCGAGGGGATGGGCACTCGGACTATGTGGCTGGAACTGAAGGACGATGTCGTGAAGCACATCCAGACCAGCTTCAAGCATTCTGAGGCCAAGCCACGAAAGACGATCAAGCCTAAAAGGGCCAAGGCCTGCAGGAAGTAGGTTTTCGTCAGCAGGGCAATTTGCTCGTTGGCAGGAACATATACATGTGTGCACATGTCGCATAATTTTCTCTCGCTGGCATGCAGGAACTTCATGTGCCAAATATGCCGGTTGCTGCAAGTGCTTGCTTCCTCGTGGTGCTCGGTTCTGTGCACGTGCATCGGTCTCCTCATGTGTCGGTTGCGACATGTGGCTCAGGCTTCGAGCTTTTTTCGTGTGCAGCTGTAGCCCGTAGACTATGTCGTGGGGTTATAGCTGCTCGATCGGCCCTGATGTGGAGGAGGCCTGGTTCGTGTCTCCCATGCAACCAAAAAGATAAAGTCACTTTAACTGTGCAGGGCTCCGCCGAGTGGTGGACGTTCGAGCACTGCGGCCTCCTGGAACCTTTGCAGTTGAACCAGGACAGCCGGTTCCCAGCTGATGCATGGGTTCCACACATGTCATGCAGGACGACACCTGGTCCAACTCCTGCTGTGTGCTTGGATGGCACAAGAAGAAGTGCTGGCGGATCGTGGACAACTCAGGCCGGGGATGTGCAATTGTCCGACATTTCATCGTCTCTTCTGTGCAGGCCAGCTGATGTACAAGCACGACAGCCGGGAGGGGAAGCCACCGCTTGAAGGCATGCAGGTTTCACAGGGCTGTGGGTCATAAGGGTTTCGGGGTTTCTAGAGTTTATGGTTTATATATTGTATATATGGGTTCATGGTTTATGGTTTATAATATATAGGTGTTATAAAGGAAGATCAATACGCAGGTATATATAGGTGTATATATATAATGTATAGGGTACACAAAAGGCATCAAAAGGTGCTCAGGTTCTTAACCTTTACATATTTGTGTATATACATGCATACATAGACACACACACACACATCTGTATACACATATATATATATATATATGTATATGTATGTATATGTATCTACACACATCTCGTTATGTATATAGATTAACAACCGTGAATACACTATGCCCGAAGTCTCGAACCCTTTTAACTCCGAAACCCAAATCCCAGACCTGCACACCACCTCATACAAGCTGTATATACACATACATATACGGTCATATATATATATATATATATATATATATACACCTATAGGTATACTATATGATGTGTATATATATATATATATATACATCCCTAATATCTTGGGCAGGCTGGGCCTGCCAAAGCTGGGAGGGCAAGTGGATGGAGGGATCTTTGCAACTCCTGGAGGACTGCATGCCCTTATAAGAGGCGAACTGATGGAAGTGTTTGTGGCTGCCTTTATGCATACATGTCCGGCATATACACAGGACCACGAGGTTCCTGTGATCAAGGACGAGGAAAAGGAGCAGGATCTGCCAAAGGTACTGCACTCAGTGCCCAGGTTGAACGATGTGAGTTGTAGTTGCACTTTCAAAACAACCAGGAAGAAGACGACGAATTCGAGGAGGTTACATGTGAGGAGCCCAAGAAGAAGGACAGTGTCGCTGTGTTCGTGGTCTTGCATTTAAAATAACGACTTCGGGAGGAATGGATGCCTCCCAAGCCGAAGAAGCGCCCGAGGGAGACCCCGGCCAAGGCGAAGATTGCATGTGTGTTGCGGTGTACAAAACATGTTGTGTATGGCAGGCTTGCAATAAGCCACCGGAGCCCAAGGAGCCGCCGAAATCCAAGAAGGCCTATTGTTTTCTGGAGAGGGCGGGGGGGGGCTTGTCATTGCCTGCTTGCAAGGCCAAGATGCCGTGGATCCCACCGCCACCCCCGGCTCCTGCCAAAGCCAAGGAGGGGTCTGCCTGGTCTCCTTGATGCCTTCGTGGGTTTTTGTTTGCTGTCCTTACTAGGACCCATCGGCTTCGTCATCGAGCACACCGCCGCCTCCGCCTGTGGGGGTCGTCCAGAAGGACGGCGCAGGCTGGAGGGCGGGCGCCTTTTATCATGATGGCGAGAAGTGGAACCCGCCCGGCACTCAAGGAGGACTTGTTCATAAAAACAGAAACCAGCAAGCTCTTGGATGAGGCCTGGTGCTGGCCGGACAAGAGGCAGGACAAGGGGCCAGGGGGCGGCGATTCTGGCATGGTCAGTGGTGCCCCAGCATGCACTTAACCCCACACAAACACCCTAAGCCCCAGACCTAACAAGAATGTCTTCTCAGGTCTCGACACAGTCGGAGAGTGTGGCGAGGCTCATCGACCACATGCTGGAGGCAGGCTTTCGTGACATTACATGTGCACCACCCATGCATGCAGTCACTAGCAGCGAGCACTGCCCTGCTGCTGTGTTTCGGTGGCAGGACAGGCATGGTGGCCACGGCAAGTGAGCCGGTGGGCTGCCTGAAATTGGCGCCGGCGGGGGCTTGCCTCTGAAAGGGGGTTGGGGAGCCGGTGCTGGTTCCTAAAAAACTGTAGCCTAAGGACTCTGGCAATAGTGGGGCACTGCTGCATAGGCACTGGCAAAGGGCTGTATAAGCACTCGCAAAGGCTTCGGAGCACAGTCTTCCCAACCTTTCCGACCTAGGTCCTCGTGTGCTTTTGCGGTGTCCTAGCTGGCTGCACAGCCCGATGTATGGGATCTGGCCACAGACCGGTTTTTATTGATTGATAAAACCCGGGACCCTGGACCCAGCCCAGATTTATCGATCGATAAAAATGGTAGCCTAACCCCAGCCCAGGATTTATAGATCAATAAAAATGGTAGGCCCAGGCCCTAGAATACACCAACAGATTTATCAATCGATAAATCTCGGTACCCTGGACCCATCCCAGATTTATCGATCGATAAAAATGGTGCTTCCCAGCTGTAGATCGATCAACTTGTGACCCAAAACCTAAACCCCAACCTGAAATCAAAAAACGACTCCCAAACCATTGCTCCCAAACCATCAACCCCAAACCCCGAACCCCGAACCCTCTGAAACCTTTACCCTGGCAGGCTTCAAAGGGTTTGTGGCAGGGTCTTGGAAACATCGGGGTTGTCCCGGTGCAGATCTGTTCCAGCCCAGCAGGAGAGGGTTTCGCCTAGTGGTCGTGACCCGGGGTTCAGACTTTTGGTGCTTCTGGTTCGTGCATCTGGCGGCCTGGGGGGCTGGGTTTCTGGTTTCACGGGCTTCTGTGTTCAGGAAAAGACGATTTGTGCTTGTACATTATCGAAGATGTACAAGGGTATTGCCATGCATGTATAGCCACACTGTGTATATTTGAGGGTATACTATATACATTGCTTTCGGAGGACGAGGGATCGTGGTTTGATACATATGTACATATGTATCAGTGTGTATGTATGTAGGCATGTATGTGTATGTATGTATATAGGTCTGTATGTATGATATGTATGCATATAGAATATATGGGCATTATACTCCATGTAGATATGTCTGTGCAGACACATATATATATATGTATATGTATATGTATATGTATATGTATATGTATATGTATATGTATATGTATATGTGTATGTATATGTATATGTATATGTATGTATGTGTACAACCCATGTAGCTGTACACATATATGCATGTGTCTATATTAATGTTTTTTTTCTCTCCTGATGTAGAAAATATATGTGACTTCATAGAAGGATTTTCGGGCATAGGAAGACGGGCATGTGCATGAGGCACACACACAAACACCGATAGCAGCTTGATATTTCGGGTGCCTGTTGCAACTGCTGCTATACAGGATTGTGCATGCTGCTGCATATTTGGGTTTTCGGACTGCACATATACTGTAGGAGTGGCTGGGTGTAATCCTGCACCGTTGGCACCATGTACAGCACGGCTCGGGCCTCGCCTGTAGACTACGGGAGCTGGGAATATACATATATGCTGTATATATTTCATACAGGCATATATATATATATAGATATTGTATATACTTCTATATATATATATGCATGTATATATATATATATATGCTCACCCCCCCCCGGTGACAGACCACGGGTCTAAAAAACACCGTGCGCAACGATATTCTGTGAAGCAAAACCGTTACATGAGGTATATAGTATAGCACCAGACGTGCGGCACATGAGTTACGTAATAGTCTTGTGGTAGTATCGGTATTAGGGTGAGTATTGTTATTAATATTAGTACTATTGCTTGCTGTAAGTATACGTATCAATATTGCCAACTATAAATTAGTGTTAGTGCTCATGTTCGTGTTAGAGTTAGCGCTAGTGCCAGTGTCAATGTCAGTAATACAGCACCACTGCTACGAGTAGTATCAGTATCAGTCTTAATGCTGGGTTTAACAGCAGCTTATATTCGCAGAAGTGCTAGTATTAGTATCAATATTAGAACTAGTTAGTTTTGATATGTTAGTATATTGATAGTCTCGTATATTAGCAGATTAGTATATCAATACATCAATGTATTCGGACAGCAAAATATTTGCATACTTGTATACTAGTATATTTTACATGTTAGTACAACTGGTGCATGACTACACTACTATACTGCTGTATTAGCTTACTAGTATATTGACATACCAGTATATTCGTACGTTAGCATATTAGTGTACGAATATGTGTACTATATTACTGTTTTATCTAATCATGTATAAGTATATCAGTATGTTGGCATATTAGTATACGAACTTGTCATGTCGGTATTCTTGCATAGTGCAGTAGCCGTATATGATTATAGTCACATATTCGTATAGTATATTCATACAACAACGAGAAGTATATTGAGACATTGGTATATGGGTATATGCCTATGCCAAGCATTAATACATGAATGCACTGATGTATATATCTGTATCTTAAGATAGTGGTACGTATTTTATGTACATGAGTATATGCAGGTGTCTATTAGTAATGGTATTAGTTTTCATATCAATATGAATATACTATTGGTATTCGTAGGAGTATTAATGTCAATACTAGTAGAAGTAGGACTATTTATACTCGTAATAGCCATAATATGAGTGTTCATGCTGGTAATACTAGTGGCATTCTTGAATATGCAGCAGATTATCAAAGTCCGTATTAGTGTTGGTGATAGTACTACTGTTAACGCACAAGGGTTTACGTATTCGTATTCGTACGAGTATAAATAGCTATGTAAATATTGATGTTAGTATAGATTTTGTGTTAAGTATTAGCAGTAGTGTTAGCGTTAGTACTATCATATTATTGATGATATACATTCGAAAGAATGTTTGTATTGTTATTACTCTTGGCCACGTGAAATTCTAACAGTTGAATTCATGAGTGAGTTAAAGGATTTGTATTTTAATATGGTGGTATGCATGTTTATGTACATTTGTACATACAGGTGTGTGTTAGTATTGGTATTATTATACATTATTATCAATATGAATATGGTTATTGATATGCGTAGGAGTACTAAGAGCAATACTAATCAATCTTAGTATTTGTGTTATGCATATTCGTACTAAGCTTTATAGAAGTGTAATATTAGTAGTAATGCTGGTATTAGCTTGAGCATTCAACAAATGATCAATGTCAGTATGTTCAATGGCAATACTATATGTAGGAGTATCAATACATATATGTATATATAGATATACAGATAGATATAGAGATATTCGTGTAAATATGGGCATGAGTATTGACAGCCCTTGCCTTTGCAAGTAATCTGGTCCGATGCGGAGACTAGCACGACAAGGCGCGCGGGTGTCCTACCAAGAAAGGAATTACAGAGCACACGTGTATGGATGAGGGTTGTGCTGATACACTACATAGTAAGCACTACACAGTAATCTTCCTTGAGTCATATATAGAACAGATTCCAGCATTTCCAAAATTTCCAAAATTTCCAAAAATTCTCTCCCCTAACTTTCCGCATTTCCAAAATTTCCAAAATTTCCAAAATTTCCGAAATTTCCAAAATTTCCAAAATTTCCAAAATTTCCAAAATTTCCAAAATTTCCAAAATTTCCCGACCTAGTCGACAGGATTTTTCCAAAACATAAGGGCGGACTTTTTGGAAATTTTGGAAATTTTGGAAATTTTGGAAATTTTGGAAATTTTGGAAATTTTGGAAATTTTGGAAATTTTGGAAATTTTGGAAATTTTGGAAATTTTGGAAATCCGGAAAGTTAGGGGAGAGAATTTTGGAAATTTTGGAAATTTTGGAATTGAGGCTTTGAAAGCTGAGTGCCCCCTCCCCCCGATCACAGACCATGCACTACGACTGAGTCGAAAGGGCATGGTCTGTCATGGGGGGGGGGGTGACCATATATATATATATATATATATATATATCTAGCTGTCCTTATACCTATATATATATACATATATATTCTTACATCTATTTTAGTATACAGCTATAGCATACAGATGCAAGCTCCCATGCCAGGCGCCCTTCTCGAAGTCACTTGCCTTGTACAGAAAGACTTAGCTGAGCACGTGTGAGTTTGAAGGAAAATGCTGGCGACCGCAGAAGTCATAGGGAGGGTCGAGTGCATGTCGCATGCAATCTGAAGCTTTCTTTGTGTTGCTATGTTCGGTCGATTCCACAGTCTGCCTTCACTGGTGCTTGTGTATATATGTAGCATGCTACACACTATACTTTAATTGGCACTATGTACCGACAGGGGGCATTCGTTTTGATCCAGCCGGTTGACTTTCTGGAGTGCTCGCATGTGTGCTTCTCTGAAACTGCAGATGACATGGCATGGATATAGATCACACATTCACACTTCGTCTCGCAGGGCTGTAGAAGCTCGCAGGCAGGAACGTGCATTGCATGGGTGTTTCAAAAGGAAGCACATGCATGCATGCATGGCATTGTATACATCCATGATGCATTGCCTCCTTCATGGCTGCACGTGCATGCATGGAGTGCTCGAACACTTTTGTGGTATTCCACACTCAGATTTCCGGCATGGCGACTTCGAAAGCCTTGGGCGACCAACTGCTCACCATCTCCTCACTCGCAGAGACCATGACAGACCAGACAACGAAAGACCGGATGATCGAGTCCTGTATGGAGTCTGCCAAGAAGCAGATTTCGGGTCTCCGCCTCACGGATTCAGCAGAAGTCCAGACACTGTTTGCTACGGTGCAGTCCTTGAACTTCAGCGACAGTCAGAAGGACGAGCTGATGCGGCAGATCGGTGATCGTTTCATGGCATGCAGCACACCCAAATCACAGGGCAGCAAGAAGTCCATGCAGACCATGGACGACCCGGGATGTTTCCTCCGGGTCTCGGATGTGACCTTCATCTCGAACCCAGACCACACCATTAAGGCCAAGGCAAGTCGGATGGCCATGCTGTTTTGCGGCATCAACTGCAGCTGCCCCACGGAGCCTACTTCGGGCCGAGCTGTGGGAGTGCTCAACAACGACTTTGGTGTCAAGGAACTCGACGACCCTCAAGTGTTTTACAACACAGTTCAGGATTTCAAAGCCGCCTTGAAGTCGCAGTTCAAGTCCAATCCCAGTGGGTCGACGAGCCATGTGCACAACTTCACGACACCGGCAGATCTACCCTCCGATGTGTATGCGAGAGCATATGGTGAGGAAGGGCCGTCCGGACATGCCGGCCTGGGTGGCTCCATCGGTCCAGTTCGAAAGTCTTCTGCGATGTTGAAGAGCCAGAACAACCAGAAGGTTCCTACTCTAGACCTTCAGGTGCCTTCGCAGAACAACATGGCGAATATGATGATGCAAGGGTTCCAGAGCATGCAGCACATGTTCAATGTCTTCGCAGGTGCACAGCAGGCTGGCATGTCCGGCCAGCAGAACATCTTCATGAACAACACCAAGACGAACCCGCCGAAGCAAATCCTCGCACTCACGAATGGACCCGATGCAGCATCGAGTCCAGCACGTGCAGAGCCGGAGCGAGCTCAGCCGCCTATGACTCCGGAAGAGCAGGTGAACACCATGCTCTCCAGCTGGAAGAATCGTCAAGAGGAGAACAAGAAGAGAGCCGAGGATGGCAAGGCCGGTGATCCGGAGGGTGGCAGCGAGAAGGCCGAGGCGAAGGGCAAGGCAAAGCCAAAGAGCAAAGCCAAGGCAAAGGCGAAGGGCATGTGCAAGGCGAAAGCCAAAGCCAAGGCGACGACGAAGCCGATGGTTAAGGCTAAGGCGAAGGCGAAGACCAAGGCCAAGGCTGCCCCCAAGTCCAAGGGTGCCAAGAAGGTTCCGGATTGGGATGAACGAGTTCGAATGAGGCCATCAGGATGTGCAAAGTGCCGATGGAAGCGAGGCTGCTGCCCTAGTTGCTTTTTGAAGTAGAGACTCCTGTTTCACATCGTGTCTCAGGCACTCTCACTCATGCATTATGAAGTCCGGCTGCACACGGGCTGCAGCAAGAGCATCTCTAAATGTGGCCGATGCATATGTGCCCTGACATGTGACACGGAATGGAAGCTGGAGCTCCTGTGCATTGTTATAGAGGATGTGTGTCGTGAAAGCGTTTAGTGTATCTCAGAGCCAATACAGGTTCGGGGTTTCCGATTTGTATATATTTATATATAGAGTTTAAATTAGACATATAGTGGGTCATATATCATATAATGTATAGGAAATGTATTGTATAGTCTGTTGGTGTTTTAAAGCTGAAGGTTCCTGGGGTTCGATCATAATATATTCGGAGTATTGTGCTGCAAACTTTGCATGTGTGTGTGACAGTTCATCCATGCATGGAAAATCGCCAACAAAGCTATACTAAAAGAGTTCGTGCTGCAGGGCCCTTGGCTCGTGGCCAGGACCAATTCCTGCACAGCTTGTGCATTGCCCGAGTCATGACATCCAGCTCCAGCTCCAAACCTTTGGCAAGCCTGGGGAGGAAGGTGTTTGTATCACAACGAGGTCTGGAATCCGTGCTCAGCGATTTGAAGAAGACCGGTTTCCTCGCCGACGATTTTGCTACCACCTCGCGAGCCTCGGTTAAGCGAGCGAGGGATGGTGAAGAGAAGTCGTGGGAGAATGCCTTTGGGCAGATGATCATTAACATGGACATCCCACATGAGAGCGATGACACGAAATTTGTTAGGGTTCCCTTCGTGCCACCTGTTGTGCTGCTGCAGCACTGCATCGCCAACGAGCACTACTCAAAAAGTGTGGCCAGTCCAGCCCTGGAGACAAGCTGGGCATCGCTATATATGCTGACGAAGTTAGTCCCGGCAATCAGCTAAAACCGCTGAATGCCAGGAAACTACAAGTCATCTACTGGTCCATCGTCCAACACGGGCAAGATCTGGCCTCGGAGTGGCTTTGGTTCCCTTTGTGTATACTGAGAAGCACTCTTTGCAATCGGATCGGCGGCCTCACTGTGCTTTGGAAACATGCCATCCAGCACATGTTCATGGATCATGACATGAGGCATGGTGTGGTGCTGCAGACATCCACCACAGCATTTCCCGTCTTTGCCGACCTCTCTGTTCTTATAGCGGACGAGGCAGCCCTGAAACAAACAGCTGAAAGCAAAGGTGCCTAGGGCACAGTGTTTTGTATGAGATGTGCGAATGTCGTTGCCCACCGAAGCGGGCTACGGGACCATGGCGATGTTCTCTCGTCGACATGCACTGACTTCACGAAGTTTCGCTTGCACACGAACCAGTCGGTCGGTGAAATCATGAGGTACCTCTCTTCCCAACATGGCACGGTTTCCCAGAAGGACTTCCAAACAATGGAAAAAGCTTTGGGCTACAACTACATGCCGGGAGGCCTCTTGATGTCGAATGTAGGACACAACATTCCGGAGATGATCCTGTTCGATTGGTTCCACATTTACTTGGTCCACGGTGTGGCCGGTAACGAGGTTGGGGTGTTGCTAGGCCGCCTGGCTTTCCCGAGCAACAGATACACGACTTCGTGCAATCCTTCCATTGGCCGGTGCAATTCGCTGGTGCGGATGCCAAGTCAGTTCTCGCCAAAAAGCGAGAGGACAAGACTGCCCCGGTGAAAGCAGAAGCCTCCGAGCTCCTTAATTTCCTGCCGGTCCTGCAGGGCTCTGCGACGCCGACAACCCGCACTTCTCGGTGAAGCACCTCTACGTCGGGGCCTCGCGGGCCACGAGCGCGGAGCTGCTCTCCGTGTGCTGATCGGGCAAACCGGGGATTTCCCGGTTTGGGAAGCTGCAAAAAAAAGGGCAGCGTTCCGTTCCCCGACAGCCCCCCGCGAGGGAGGCTGAGAGGGAATCCCGCCCAGGCACACAGGCCTGGCGGGGGTGGCGAGGCTTCGGAACCGCCCCATTTCCTGGACGGTTCCCCGGTGCCTCGCGGACCGGCGCGGAGAGTCCTCAGGGGTCCCGGCGAACCTGACAAGTTCCTTATCCTCTTCGTCTGGAGGGATGCTGACGACTCCCTGAAGAGTTGCTGTCACGGATTCTTCACTTTGTGCAAAATCCTTCGCATGCTGAGGAAAGCCACTCAGGGTGGCTTGGGCCCTGCTGCCCTCAGGGGTGCCATTAAGGAGCATTGCGAACTCTCTCGCTAATTACGGGGCAGAGTACTGGGTTCCGAAGAACCACATGACCATGCACCTACCCGAATTCTTGGCTCGGCACGGGAGGCTGCTCTCGTGCTTCGTGCACGAAAGGAAACACAAGCTGGTCAAGAGGTTCGCAAACAACATGGAGGACACATCCAGATCATACGAAGCTACCGTCCTTCGCGAGACCCTTGCAGCTCAGTTCCTTGCGATGCAGGACGAACTCCTTCCAGGGGATGTGCGACTCATCGGCAAGAGACGGTGCACAAAGGCAATGGCCAGCCTGATCCGGGATGTGTTCGGCAACTCCGACGGTGTGTTTCAAGCACAGGCAGCATTGCATGGCGGAGGATTCCGGTGCTCCCATGGAGATGTCGTCAGAGCCAAGCATGCACAGGAACACGTTGTCGGCATGATTCACTTTCATGTTGAGGTTGACGGCCTGCCTCTCACATGCATGAGTCCATGGAGCCATGTGGCCGATCACATGTACCGTGTGAAGCACGAAAGTTTCTTCATCAACACGGCATGCATTCTTTCGGCTTGCATCTGGTCTCGCAAGGGCGACGATGCCATCGTGTTGTTGGAGTGAGCTGCAAAAGTGCATGATCCTGCATGCGAGCCCACGGCCCTGCATTCGAACTCGTGCTGTGCTTCATGTTTGTGTTCACATAAAGCCCTCCCTCGCAGGTGCTGTTGACGTCGGCAACCACCAGATGCTTGGGAATGCAGGGTTTGGGGGGCTGATATTGGCTTAGGTTTACTTGTGTTTATGCTCATATGATGTCGGTTTCGGTGTCTATATTCATAACTGGTATGTAGCTTGATTTCGATGTTTATGTAATGGTTTGCGAACATGGGCAACTTCGAAGGGCTTCCCCGCATAATATGATGGAGCCGGTGATGTGTTGTAAGATGGTCTCGGCTTTAGATCTTTCTTTCAAGAAAGTTTTCAGCTTGAGGCTGGTGTCGGGTTTCGGTGTTGATGCAGGTTTTTAGCTTTCAATCTTTTCATGTGCTGGTGTTGGAACATTCGGTAGTTTGTTTGTGTGTTGGTGGGCCCGTAGGTTCCCGGACCATTCCACGATGTTCAGAAACTATACTCGAATTCTCAGGAACTATTTCTAGGTGACCGGTGGATCCTATGTCCATGAGGATAGAGATAGAGAGGATATTTCTTGTTAGCACGTCTACATATACGGTTTGCACAGAACCAGCACCGCAACTGCAAGCGTGGGAGCATGCACAACCTTCAGCACAGTCATTTTGGCACATCGCTCAAAGGAGGTGCTGACACGACTGTTTCAAAAAACCCTGAGGCTTCTGGCAAGCGAGGCTGGCTCAACTTTGACATACGCTGCGGCACCGCAGCTGCCAAAACAACATCAACTGTTTCATTATGTACTGATATATAACGACTCGACTTGAAGCCTTGGCAGCCTTGCGCAGCCGTCCTCAGGACGTCACGAGTTGCTGACTGCTCACTCTGCTGCGCGAGACTTCTTCGAAGATCTGCTACCCGTGCTCTCACGGCGCGCGGGCTTCTCCTTGGGTTCGTCCTTGCTCTTGCCCTTGCTCTTCTTTTCCTTCTTGGGCTTCTTACTCGCTGGCTCCGACGGAGTGGGCCCATCGGCGTCCTCGACACCAGCGGTGCTTGATGCACCAACGGAAATGATCCTCAGCGCATACAACACACCAGCACTTGTAGCTTTACAGTCCACTCTAACCTACTTACATACAGGCATGCAGGTGCTACATCGATGCAATTGAAGAACTCTGGCACTGAAGGAGCCACAGCCCGCTTTTTCGGGCCCTGCACATCCTCAAACTGCTGGAGCTGCGCAACCAACTTTGAGGACACATTCATCAGATCGCGTCGGGTGATGCCCAAGCTGGAGCCAATGAACTTGAACACATCCGCACACACCTGCTTCTGCTTCCCCGCGTGCTTGGGATTCAGGATCACATCGCAGCCCAGAAGCGTGCCGACCGTTGTCGCAGCATCTACCCTCAAGTCCTCCAGCACTGAGCTGAACATGCAGCCCCCGGTCCCCCTACCATCCACTCCCATGACCACTGAGCCCCATTCAATTGCAAAGCTCGAAAGAACGTCTTATGAAAAAGAGCCGAACATGATGGAAAGCCCCCCACCTCCTCAGACGAGTTAGCGTTTAGGAGAATTTAGGAGTTTAGTTAGAGTCAGAGTTAGAGTCTAACTTAGAGTCAAAGCTATCGGACTCGTAGATACTGATGCTCACACTCAAACTCGCTAGACGTGCTGAAACCCCAAACCCCAAGACCCTACGAACCTACCTAAACCCCCAATGCCATAAAGCCTAAAACTAAAGCGGAATGGGAAAAAGAACTAAAACCCTTAACCCTAAGCCTAAACCCGAGGCATGTCCTTGACTTTGATGCACAGCTCCCGCAACTTCTGCCCGCTCGTGTTTGCAGGCACTGCATCCAACATGGACCCGATCTTCTCTGCTGATTTCATTGCATCGGAGGCCTCCTCCCGGAGTGACAAGATCAGCTTGACCTCGGCATCCACCTCCTCGGAGCTATCAAACATCCAAGCGACGTCCTTCATGTCCCACGCGGCCGCACACTGTTTGACCGGCCTGCGGAATGGCAGCATCAGCACACGAGTAACTTGCCACAGATGTACATTCGACAATGATGTAAGTCTATCAGTCCATAAAAGTTGATTATTGATCTAATATGTGTGGATTTTATGTGACACGTGAAGTGTGAATGAGTCACTGCTGAATGCGCTGCATCAGAAACAGAAGAATCATTTCCAAGCCCTGCCGGGCCATAAGTCACCTCAAGATTCCGTGAGCGCTCACATGCCGCACGACGCATCCCCCACGCCGCCTGTACTTCTCGGTCAGCTTCTGAAGCTCGGCCACCGTCTGCTCGAAGATTTCCACATGCCCGCTGAGTGCACCATCCACCTGCTCGCAGAACTCACGGCTTTTCCGCAATGTTGCAGGATCCACGAGGTTCTCATCCGCGGAGCTTGCCTTGATGTACAATGCCGTGCTAGCACCGAGCTGAGCCAACGAAACATCCTCAGGCAAAGGAAAACTGCTCGCCAACTCCTTCGTCAGGTTGAGGCTGGCCACGGCCGCCTTGATCTCCGGAGTTTGCACTGCCAACGTACCATTGACCTTGGTCACAACCTCGTCGGCAGCCGTGTTGCTCAACAAGGCACTAATCCAAGCTTTCGCCGCTGCAGCGATGGAAGCTTTGAGCCGGCCCATTGCTGCAGCAGCAGCCTCGAAAGCCTTCTCGCCCTTGCAATTCTCCTGTTTGCTCGTTTTCTTCTCCATGTCAACGTAGAACTGACACGCCTGATTCAATGTTTCCGCCTCAGCATTCGTGGAGCCAACGAGCTCGTAGAAGCCCTTCACCTTCTTGACGAAGTCGCACATGAACGACACTGCCTTCGATCGTCCTTCCGAGCTGCCCAGGATCTTGAAGAAGGCGCCTCAGTAGGGTTTAGGGCTTAAGGTTGAGGCTTAGGGTTTAGGCGTTTAGGGTTTAGGGTAGTTGCAGCAACAACCACATGTCCCAGGAAATGTCCACCACACCGACCATACAGGACCATACAGATAAACCTAAGATTTTAGGACCTAAAACTTTTTTCACTCGTGCTCGACCTAAAATCTACTGGGTGCGACCGAAGAACAAAGAGTCACAAGGCTGTCAAACCACTTTGGGACCTCGTCACTGTCATCATCTGACTTTGTCCACGCGGCAGGCCTGTCCACAGGGCTGGCCTCCAGGTGGATCGGTGCGGCCGCGCCATCCGGGCGAGCTGCCCAAAACTTGCCAATCACGGCTTGAGCGGTCTGCTCAACTTTGTGCATGAGGGGCCCGTTGCAGCACTCCTCGAGCAGCTTCAAAGCTCCGCTCAGCTCTTCGCAAGCCTCTGCTGCTGCACGATTGCCCTCAGCATCCTCCGCCTCTTCCTTTGCGAACTTTTGCACGTCCGACAGGAGGCTCTGCAAGTTCAACGCGCAAGCCTCCTGCTTCTGACGAAGGGTCTCGGCAAAGGTGTCGCGCATGCCATTCTCATCGGCGGCGGTGAAGGCCTCCAACATCTCCATCACTGCCGCGGCTTGCTTCTTTCCCTGACCAACCAAGGTTTGCCCTTCGAGAGCGCTCTTGGCTTCGGTAACAGTGGCCGCCCAAAGCTGCCTAGTTCAGCACTCAATTAAAACACTGCCGCATGCCACATACACATACCCTACTTTGCTAGTAATACTGTAGTTTTGCAAGTGGCTTCCAAGGTGGCTGTCGCATCAACACAGCCACACGCGAGCTGTAGGAGGAAGCTGACACCACCTCCTTGAGGTACAGCTTCAACCCATTCGGCATGGATCCGGACCCATGCTTCTGATGGCTCCGAACATAGATGGCACCCTGGATCCGTTGCCAATCTGTCAAGACCTGTGCATTCAGCCCCGTCTGGTTGTCATAGAGCTCCGGCTTCAAACATTCCAGACTTGGTGCTCCCGTCTTCACTCCAGCCCTGCCACGCAGGGAGACGGGAGAAGGGACAAGCCGAGCATGCCACGACTATACTGATCAATGAATTTTTCGAATGCGGAAGGCTTTCGTCAGCAAGCCCATCAGCACGGACTGATCACTGAATTTTTCGAATGCGGAAGGCTTTCGTCAGCAAGCCCATCAGCACCGACTGATCACTGAATACTGACGCTCCGCACGTCTGTTGGCAGCTTCTCTGTGTCCGACATGGAAAACCCACTACTGGCGCCGAGCAGTTGTCAAGCTCAGAAGTGGCATTGTTACAATTTATGACTCATGACTCGTTCTGACGATAACAGAACAAACATTCTCGAGACTCACCGCAGGAAAAGACAGCGCAGCAAAAAACGAAGGACTCCGAAGTCCGACGGACTGTTTCTCCGTTCCCGCCTCAGCACGCCGGGGTGACGTGCTAAGCTTTCGGGCGGGATGCATAGGATCGTCTCGTCCAGCTGCTCCATGCTTTTCAAGCCCTCCACCCAAGCATATGTGCCAGAGCTTTGCGACCGCAGCAGAATCTGATCGACCCTGTCAGCCACATTGAAGAGTGCGTGGAAACTCCAGATCGGCTTGAAGTCGCTGGCATCCTCATCTTCATCCGGGCACTGGTTCGTCGCCGGATCGGCGACACTCACCATACGAAGAAACCAGCGTGGCCCGCCCTGACAGAGCTCTAAGAGCTCTATTTCAAAACATTTCGGCTAGTCAAAAAAAGAAGCACAGCAGGAAATCATGCACGCTCTGGCCACCTAAATGACCTCCAACAATCACGACTAAGACCTTTCCTGTGAATCGCCCTCCTCTCTGTTGTTCTCCAAGAACAAATCAGAAGTACTAAGTACTGCAGAATCATCCGATACCGATACCGCTAAAATACTGTAGCAACATCATACGACTGAACCGTGCCTCTGCAGCAACCTTGGAGCAAAGGTAGGTGAGCACTGCTGCCAAGGTCTCTGGGTCCATGGCCGCCGTTTGCAAAGCCTTGGTGAGCTCTGCCGCAAAGCCCTCATCCTGCAACACGGGGAGAACCGGCTTGTTTCCTCGCAGCTTACCGAAAACATCGTGCACAATCTGGACGTTGTTGATGATGTCCGTGGCCTCGCTGAGGGCAGTCTGGACTGTGTTGGCTGGTCAAGGGCTTTCACAGGCGCCATCACCGCCTTGAGCTGGTCGAACTCTGCCGGGAGGGTCTCGGCAGCAGCTGCCTTGACCTTGAGTGGCGATCCGAAGACCGTCTTCTTCCTGCCACCGTGCTCAACAGTCGGCTTGGATGATTGGGACTTGTTCTTCCCTCGCACACGGCTCTTCGGCGGGGCGGCTGGCGCTGCAAGGCCGAACTCGGACGAGGCGCTCTCCTCCTCATCCCCGTCATCTCCCTTGTTGGGATTGGGCTCATCATCCGGGCTCTGGCTTGCGGGCAGCTTGCTGGCATTGACATCTTCCTGCCGAAATGAAAAGGACAGTACCGTAGCAGTAGCAGCATAAAGTCTCGAGGAATGGAAAAGAATAGACAGACCCATGCATGTAGGCTGTAGATCATGAGAGAATCAGATCAGATCAGATAAAATAGCTCAGATAGTGCTGAACGGTCTGAAGAATCATCCACAAACGTTGGCGGGTCAGCGATCGGCGATTTGAAGCGATTTCTGTGAAAAACAGCAGCGACTCATCGCTTCATGGGTTCGAAGCAGAAACAGGATTAACTTGATGCGCACACGTACGAAATAGTGCAATGCTTTGTTGACACAAGCTAAGCAGCATCCATCCAGCTTGCAGCATCCATTACACTACATTTCACCACCACTTTGCAGCATCAGTCATCAGTGAGCCCTTGTGCGGGAGTGGCCCAGCAACAAAGGAGGAATTTGAAACCCGCCAGAAGTGGCCCAAGTCTGGGTTTCCAGGCCCAAAAAGGAGGTTTGGGCCAGAAGTGGCCCGAACCTTGGTTTCCAGGCCCAAAAAGGGGGTTTGGGCCAGAAGTGGCCCAAGTCTGGGTTTCAGTCTGGGTTTCCAGCCTAGAAAAGGGAGCAGCAGCGATAATTCGATAAAAATAATAATAATAAGAAGAAGAAGAATATAATAATATAAATAATGTAATGTAAAATTATACAATCAAGCAATCAGGCACTACACGCACACACGCAAAACCCTCACGACTGCTGATTCTGACTGCAACAGCCTCCTCATTCATCTGGATGGCCAAGCCAGCCGCGTTCTTCGCCTGCATGGCGGCAATTTGTTCTCGACTGTAGTCGGAGGCGTCCTCCAAATCCTGCGTGCGGATTTTGGAGGCTGCGAGCCGTTTGCCCACTTTGATTTCCTTGAGGTCGTCAGCGTCCTTCGCCGTAACGACGCCTTCCACCCCCTTGTCGTCAGCCTGTAGTCTGAAACCTTGCCGTACGATAAAAGCCTTTCGCTGGCTATCGTTACGGAAAGTCATACTTGGGTATTCATCGTCACAGAACTTCTTCACGCTCCGCCAAGTCATTGCCTCAGATCAGAGGCGCACAGAGCCATAGAGCACATAGCCACGGGCCATGAGCAGTAGCATTAGTAGTCTATTAGTAGTAGTGTTAAACAGTAAAGTCAGTAAAGTGCATCATAGGCGCGGAGAAGACGTCAACGTATTGCTCCTCCTTCCGCTCCAGCAACACTTTGACATCTGGTTTTTCGTGCCTGTATTTTCTGCTCGGGTGGGCGATCGAAAATCCCACGGATGACGCTCTCATTCGATCGAACCTGCAACTTTCCACATTAAGATCAAGATCAGCTGAAGTGAGTGAGCAAGCACACAGCATAACTGCAGCGCAGCATAAATGAAAGCGAGGCTCTTATCTCGGAAATCCGGCTTCGCATCCAGATGGCCGAGTAGCTCTGATATTCTCATGTTGTTCAGGCTGCCTCGTTTCAAGTAGAAGCACCACTTGCAGAGGCAAGGTCCGGAGTTGGCCGCGCCACCAGAGAAGAACTCCACCACTTGCTCGAACCCGGCTGGGTTGTCCTTCATTTGCACAGTGGACGCACTCCGAGCGCTGGCTGCACCACATAACTGGCATAAACCGCTGCAGTGGTTTGAGGAATCAACTCAGTGCATGACGCGATCGATTTCCCCTTCCTTCTGCTTGCACGCGAGGCATACAAGGACCAACAAGGATGCAGCTGCGGCTGCAGAAGAGCTTCCAGATGCACTCCCGCTGTCCGAATCCGTGTCGGACGCATCAGAGCCATGACCGATCACGCGCATATGTTGCACAGCAGGTGCCACCAACAGTGGCTTGCCTTCACTGCCGCCAGGAAGAGCCCACGTTATCAACGAAAGCAATGCAGCCAACAGCACACTGCTAGTCATTGCATTTCCTGCACACGAACCAGCAGAACTTGGCAAGTAACTCGTAAAGACTGAGACATTCATGTTCGTGTTCATGTAAGAGTAAAACGTAAAACTGTAACTGTAACTGTATTACTGTATCACAGCACAATAACCTGTGTTATCAATGTTATCTGATTGTCTGATGCAAACAATCCAAATACTTTCAAAGTGCAGCTTCCGAATCCCGAGGCCCGTCCTGCAAGTCTGTTCATCAATCTGTAATCACGAGAATGAAAGCTGAAGCGGGAAGGGTCCAGCCCCTGTAGCGCGAAGAGCTCCTGCAAGCACAGCAGAAACCCATGTTTCCAGCTTTTTGCAACCCCCGCACAAATCAACATTGTCTATGCACTTGTCGGAAGTGGGCATGTCTGGCCTCCCCACATAGGAGACGATCGTGTTCAAAGCTCCATAGCTTGTTCCGTGTGGTCACCGAGCCACACTTCGAATACCGGGACACCGCCTCTCTCGGCAGGCTTCCTTGGCAAACCAGCAGCAGTGCCATCACCCAGTAGCTCCGCCAAAAGAGGATGCTAGTTAAGGGCGCTCGGGCCGACAGAGGATGCTAGTTAAGGGCGCTCCGTTCGGTTGTGTAGTGGGTTGCTGGGGTGGGTGGGGTGGTGGGGTGGGGTGGGGTGGGGGGGTGGGTGGGGTGGAGTGGGGGGGTGGTGGGGTGGGGTGGGGCGGGTCGGTTGGGGGTGGCCTTCCCACAGCCAGAAATGGGCCGGAACACCGTCCCACAAACCGAGCCAAACCCTCCAAACTCCAAACTTGATCTTGGGGCACGGCTTGCCACATCCAGCATGTATTTCTGCTGCTTTGGTCTGCCACCCTTCACCTGTGCGGGAAAGCAGAAGCAGTAATCAGTAATCACAGTAATTAATCACGCGATTGATGGCTCACCGGAAGTGAGGGGTCAACTGCGGATTATGCCACTGTGCCAGAAACAACCACGGGACACATCCTGAATACGACCATTAGTACAGTAACAGTCGCAACTACTTACGTGGTAACGGCCGTAACTTACGTCGTAACTATTGCCGAACTTATTACTAGCTTAATTGCTTAATAGTACTAATAGCCGTACTCTTACTCTCACATAATAAGAACTAATAAGAATTCATAAGATATGTATAGTTTACTATAGATAATAAATACTATAGGTATTATAGACTATAGACAATACAGGGCCCTAAGGAACAGTTCAAAACGGTTTGGACGGTTTCTTACTGTTGCCTGGCTTGTGCCCTAGAAACAGTCACAAACGGTCTGAACGGTTTCCTACTGTTCTTGTGTTGCTCGGTTTTGCAGGAACTGAATAAACGGTTTTAAACGGTTTTAAACGGTTTTTGAACATTGCTGGTTTTGGGCTCATATCCTGTACAATGCCTATACAGAACAGTCAGGAACGGTTCGAACGGTTTTGGACTATTTCGGGTTCGATCTTAAACCCAGGATCTTGGTTAAAATCGACCCACAGCTTTTTGGGCAAGTTATAACCACGCAAAGCCAAATTTATCGAGACTCATACACAAGGTATTGCAAGCAGCAGCGCACTCATCACTGATAAGTGATAAGATAAGTTACTGACTGATAAGTGATAAGTGCTAAAGACTGGTGTCTTCGATAAAAGTGATAACTGCCCTGACAAAGCTGACATAACCAACGTGGCCGTGGCAGCCTGAATTTTCTGCCACATAAGGTTCAGAACCATCTTCTCCCGCACCGTCAATGAGCTCACAGCACCAGCTGGCAAGCTGCTGGTGTAGGGCTCGTCCCCTGGCCAAGCATGATATAGCAAAACACATCACTCGCATCACACATGGATTGTGCCTGGGCTGTGGTTAAAACAAAGGGCTCCAGTCTGAGGCTGCCGTAACCGGTCAAACAAGGAATTGCTGCGCATGCCCTTGGTCCGCTTGGCCTGGGGCCACGCCAAGCTCCTCCTGCCACTGCTGGAACTCCTTCATGGTCTTGTCCGAGAGCCGGCGTGGCCTTCTCTCCTGCGCGCCAGGTTCAGAAACCGTTTAAAACCGTTTCAAACCGCTCCTAACAGCTCTTGGCACCACTGGGAGGCCTCAGAATGGTTCTGGAGCTATTTTCGTGGGGGCCTGCAACCCCAGATTTCACCACGTGCGACCCGCCGCGCAAAGGCCAAGAGATGCCCACAAAACCGCGTGCGACTCACCACGTGGCTTCGGCCGACCTTGGCCCTCAACCCTTGACTGCCTGAACCCTAAACCCTAAAATACCTTAAAAGGTCTACGGTCTAAGTGGACCCTAACCCCCAAAGCCCAAAGCTTAAGCCCTAAACCCTAAAGGGTAAGGGGATGGGACAGGCAAATGTTTCTCTAGAGAAATGCGATACACTGAAGATGTTTTTGTCACATGACTTCACATCAGTCATGAGTCACGTCAGTCATGTCGCACATGTCACATGGTCTGTTTCGAATCCCACTCGTTTCTTTTAATGTTCTCTATAAGCAATGCAATCAGGGTCCTCAGGGATGTCACCGACAGACACATTTGGAGGACGACCCAGAGTTTTCTGCACCCAGGCCACCACCTCCGAGATGGTACTCGGAGAATGTGCTGATGGCAAGAAGGTGTCGAAGAAATGAATCATGCTGTTGAAACTTGCCCAGTCCATCAGGGATTCTTGTGCACCAAAGATATAGACGCGCAGTCGGCACTGCGGGCTGCCATAATGCCTGCTCCTGCCAAACTCAGACTGCTGCAAATGATACATCCAATAATTGATACATGATCCGTGATCAGAGATACAGTAATCAGTGATCAGTGAACAAGTGATAAGTGATAAGTGGTGAAGGGTGGGACAAAGTCAACCAAGCTGTGAACCGGGCAGCCACATGTAATCTAGCTTTACTTTACACTTACACTGACGCTTATGCTGACACCGAACTTACACTTACACAGACACACTTACACTTTCACCGTACACCAACTTGCAGTACAGTTCATTTCAATGCAACTCATTTCATTCCACTCACTCATGACTCATTCGTTTTAAGATCTTGGGGTTCTATAAACTAGTGTTGTGCATGCTAGCGGTATAGCCGGAGGCTTTAAAGAGAGCATACGAAGCGAAGACGAAGCTTTTACCGGAATGCCGAAAAGTCCCACAGCTCCGAGACTAGGTTCAAACGCAAAGGACGGTTGCTGGGTGGACTAATGCCCCCCCCCATGCAACTGAACAACGGCATAACGCTTCTGATAACCGCACATGTGCAGCAAACAGATGACAGCAATAACGAACGCCATTCGTGGTGCATGTATGCCGTGAGGGCAAACGCGGGGTTTAGAGACAGATTTGCAGAGCGCGGTCTATGCTCGTCGATATTCAAACGCACATAAGATTAATAATGCCCAAAGAAAAAACACTGGTGATGGCATGACCGTCAAGAAATGGTGACAAGCAGTGGCCGAAATATCTCCCGTCCGCGTAAAGCACAGATGGTGATATAACATAACCCAGGACAACAGCAGAAACGCCGACTTGCGGAGGGAGATGGCGTGCACATTCGGGTGAAACCTACAGCCTGCCCCGGAGGCTCCGCGGATTTCTTATTTCGAGGTCTTGTTTTTTCTTTATGGCCAGTGCCTGTGAGACGTGGTGAAACGCCCAAAGTTGGAACAACGCTTCAAACCACCTTAAACAGCTTGGTACAGGAGCAATAAGAAATACAGTAAATATGACGACTTTTGGGCGGGAGGGTGAGGAAAAACAAAAGTGACATCATGCTAGCATGCACAACTATGAGCCAAAATGTTGCACGAAAACATAGTTTATAAAACATACGTGAAACAAGTACACGATACGTTCTATAAACTAGTGTTGTGCATGCTAGCGGTATAGCCGGAGGCTTTAAAGAGAGCATACGAAGCGAAGACGAAGCTTTTACCGGAATGCCGAAAAGTCCCACAGCTCCGAGACTAGGTTCAAACGCAAAGGACGGTTGCTGGGTGGACTAATGCCCCCCAAATAAAACTACCCAGCAACCCCGCCTGGGATGTCATTATAAAAGCCTGTAGGAATGCCTTCTTGTAGCGACTGGCACAAGCTGACATCGGGATCACCGCAAAAACATGCGAGTTTCTCCAAGACTTTCAATGCCAAAGGTTGATGTTCACGAACGGCCCAAGTGCTGGAGTCTTCGGAAACCCCTAAAGCGGACAGAAAACCCCTGCGAACTGAGGCAACCTCTGATGCTGTGAAGAGAGGCTCAGGGCCCGGCCAGGCAGCTTTGGCAATCAAACGCTTATGCCCTTGCATACTATACACTTTATCAAGCAAGAATGTGCGAAGCGGTTTCAACTTATCCGGGCAGAGTGGGGCGCTCCAATCCCCACATGAGTGGCGACCAGCCCCATCGTGAACAACCCATGGACCCTCATGTAACCCTTTCAACGGAACAAGAGCAGCCGCTGACTCCATGCTATGCTGAGTCTTGTTTTCAGTCAATAGGGGACGGATATGCAGCGCAAAGGTCTCAGCCAAACTTTGAGGGTATTTCGCGGTGCGTCGACTCAGAAATGAGCCATCAGATGAACGGCCTTGCATGACAACATGAGCGTTCTTACCATGTTGGCATGTTTGCCCCATGACAGATAATTTTTGATAGCTGGTGGCAAAAAGCCACGTCTTTGACCAGTCCACCCCAAATGCACAAGCTGGGAGCAAAACTAGAGCTGTGGAGCCTGAGTGTATCCAGCTTTGGACGCACGATTCCTCCCAGGACATAGCCCCAGAAGGCTGTTCGAGGTGGCCGTGACCACCCGAGGCATGAACCACTTGAATGCATTTGCAAGCTCTGGCGAGAATCTCATGACTCTCTTGCACACGTGATTGCTCTGCGGGTGACAAACCGAAAACCCCATCAAGCTGCTGTGGCGTTCTGATGGCGTATGGGGGACCTCCCGACAGCTTTAACCGAGAATACTCGGCACAACACGGGGAGGCT